CTGGCCGAAGGCTGCATGGGGGGGGCGGCGGCTGAAGCACTGGCGAAAGGGCCCCCGGAGCGCCTGGGCTCACGAAACTCACCAACCCCGAACGCGACTCTCTTCCCTGTGGCTTGGTCTGCAGCCTGGCCACATCATTTAGAAACAATGCCAAGGTGCTCCACCTTATGCACAGCTTATGACATAAATTGCACCTTAATGCTTTGTGTGAATGCCAATTTTTGGTGGAATTGCCCTGGAAACATGCCCAAGAGTCAGTGCCAGAATGGCCCACTGGTTACACACCCATGTCCTTTCTGGCCACTGTCCCTCTTCCTCCAAGTCTGACTGCCCTGTGCCCAATGTGGGGGTGAGGGTAGGGGGTGGCTCTTAGTCGAAGGGATGATGCCCAAGGCCAGAGGGCCGACTACAGACATGCAGGCGCCACGCAGGAGAACTAAGGGGAGAAAGTGCGATTTCTTCGATTCCCACGTCTTCAAGCCATTTCCAATTCTCTGGTGCCTTGCTGGCAGACACCCAACCTGTGCTGGGGGACACAGCGACAGCAGCCTGTCCCAAATGCTCCCTAGGATGCCCGACCTTACCGCACACACCAGGAAAGGATAGGTCTACAGTGGAGAAAGTAAACCCAACCAACAAAATGGAGGATCCACCCCTTCCTCCCTGTCATGTACCAGTAGAAGCCTCCGGCCAGCTCACAGGGGAGCCCAAGGGCAACCCCGAGGAGTTGCCACACAGTGGCCAGCTGAGGAGCCCCGGGGTTCCACCCGGACACGCCCCCCGTTGTCCCAATGCTCCGCCCGCCTCCCGAGGGGCTCCCCAGCCCTGCTGCCCCCCAAAAGGGCCCTTCTGCCCAACAATAGGAACAGTGCCCAGCTCCCCCGAAAGTGGCCAGCCCATCGGATCCCTGGGAGCTCCACCTTGCAGCCCTCAGCCTCTATGAGAATCTCTGCTTGCCCCTCGTGCGGGGTCCCTCTTTCTTGCAAAGCAGGCACCCAACGATCCTTGAAATAAACGTGGTTCTCCTCCTCAGTGCTGCGCTCCGTTCTTCTGGATTTTTAAACAGCATAAAGGCTCAGAGAAATGTGGTCTGTTGACTGCCTTACCTTTGGAAAACCCTCTCGCTAGACCGCCTCTCTTTAAACTCGGAGAGGCCCTCAAGTTCTTCTCTGATCTGCAGGAGAAACACCAGAGCTACTCGAATCAGGTAATGGTCAATTTATTCAGCGAATCAAACGAGGAGCAGGCAAAAGCATCACGGAAACAGTCAGGCAAAGCTCCCGATAGGGACAGATGCTCAGCCTTAAACACGCCAGCCTCTTTACGCAGCTGATGTTGCTTCATCCACTCAGGGGGCCATAAAGAGAGGACTGCAGAGCCAGTCGGCTGAGTGAGAGGAGTCGGCAGTGAGCTCCCCTGAAGCTGGTGGCCCTCAGGTTTTCGTGCCCGCATCTTTCTCCAAGCTCGCCCAGCGGTCGGCTGGCCGATCTCACTCAGGCCACGCAGGGCCAGGTCATCCTGATGAGATGCTCGGCCCACCTTCTCCATCCCGGTCCTGCCGACAGAAGGGCTCCCACCTGCATCTCTCAGTGCATCCCCCACCCTGGCTCCTCTGCTGAGGCCTTGATACGCGTTGGCACCACCTTTGCCTCTGGAATTAGCGTATTTACCTAGATGTTCTGCCTCGCTCAGTGAATAAGCCAACACGTAACCGGGGCCCGTAAGCTTTTATGCACCTACTGAAGCCTGAACCTCCATCTTTCTCCTAAATTCTGCATCTTTAACCTTACTTATAAAGCAATGCCTAGTGGTAATCAACAGAGCGCTCTGCGGCATCTCTAAGCAATGCGAAACAAATGTGTAGCTACTCTGTGCACAGCTGCAGCTAGATTGTCTAAGCGTTGGACCCTGCGCAAAGCCGGACGCTCTTTGCCTCCTCCTGATTATTTTGTGGCCGAGATTCCCTTTCATGTTTCGGAAGGCAGAGCCAGCAAGGCCAAAAGCAGAACCCCAAATTCCACAGGATTCCTCCTGCAGCAGCATCCGACACATTCGTGGCCCAAAAGCGGGACTGAAACTTTGGCCCCCGCGCCAGCTGACCTCTGGCTTCAGCCGGATGCCCCGAGCGACTGGCGGCACCTTCTGTCCTCATCCAACCCCCCTGGCTGAGAAGCTTGCGGACCGCTTCAGGGGTGGCCGGGTGCGCCCGCGTCAAGGTGCTCTGGGTCCCCCGGGGAGAAGCAGCCGTCGCCTTGCAAGACTGCGTCTGCTGCACCACGGCAGCAGGGAAGAGGGTGGGGGGAGGAGGAGGAACACCTGTCTGTGGCAACAGCAGCCTGGAGATGCAACTCCCGGTTAGCAGCACGAATCCGAGAAGAGGCTTTTGCTGTCATTCCTTAATCGTCACGGTGGCTTTAAAGACCGTGCCTCAGCTGAGTGTCTGGCTCTGAAAACTGATGGAGAAAGATTTCTCTTGAGTAGGCTTAATGGGTTCGGAGGAGGAGGAGGAGGAGGAGGAGGAGGAGGGGAGCGTGGCAGAAGATGGCACTCTGGCCAAATGCAAAAGTCCATTATGGGATGCATTTTGGAAGATCCTTGTCTGATGGCAGAGCGAGGACTTCCGATTCCTGTAACCAAGCCCAGGAAGGGAGAAGCTGCTGCAGATGGGTTGGGAAGGCTTGAAGAATGGCTGACGTACGGGCTGCTTTTCCAGTTTGCAGGACTTGAAAGGAGGAAGACGATTCCCCTCCAAAGGACCATCCAAATATCAACCCGAAAAGAGGAGGCAGGGTTCTTTCCACAGGTCCATTTCTCACCTGAAACAGTTCCTCAGCCTGAGCCTCTTGTTCCTTCCTCCAGCTTCGTTTCTGAAAGCCGGGCACCGGTCCACACACTGGATAATATGCTCATTAAGACATCTGGCTCCCTCTAACACTTGAATACATTGGGAATATCTGTGCGTTCCAACACATTTCCAATTGCAGAGGCTTTGCGCTGTCTCTCTCTCAGAACAGGGAAAACCTCCATGAGGACTCCTTTTGAGTTCCTTCAGAGTAATACGGCGCATCTTGGTTCTTTTCCACGAGGTCATCGATCATCTGAATCAGTTTCTCCACCTGCGCCTCTCGCTCTGCCTCTTGGGCCTTGTTGCTGAACGCCAGGCACCGGTTCCCACACTCAGCGATGTATTTCCTCAGCTCCTCACCTTGGGCAGACACGAAGCTTTCAAGAGATTTGCCTTCCAGGTCCTCTTTCCGGGTGAACAAGATGATGAGGTAGGCCTTGGCTTTACTCTGGAAAATAGCCTTGATGAACCGAATGACCTCCTTCTCCTCCCCGGTGAAGACACCTATCTTGACGACGTGGATAATGGCGTGGGGGCCTGGCAAACACAACTGCGCGCATTTCTTGACCTCCGCAGCAGTTTCCTGCCACGAACAACGTGTGCCAAAAAATCCAGGCGTATCGACCACCAGGATCTTCCTGCCGTTCCGCAGCGTCTCCTCCCGTTGGCATCTCGCAGTGACTGTGTGGAGTCCCATTTTAGACGCAAAGCACACTCTTCCCAAGATCGTGTTCCCCGTCGCACTTTTCCCAACTCCGGTTTTTCCCACAAGGGCAACTCTGAGCTCAGGCCCTGCAACGGAGGAGGGGGGAGAGAAGGGGGGTCACGCCCAGCCGCCCGAGGCCATCGGCCATCTACTGTCGGTGGGGGCAGCCCAAGACTGCGCGGGGAGCAGGACGGAGGGCAACGTGGGCGCACACACAGCCCCCATCAGCCAGAATTCGGGACTTCAGCTGCTGTCGGCTGTAAGCGCCACATTCGCACAACCTGGACGAGCCATGAGCCCAACGCTGTTTCGGATTAAAAACAGAGTTAAACAGAATCCTAAAGAGGAAGCTGCCTTGCGCTGAAATGGGCCCCACAAATATTCTCCCATGGAATATTGAACCCTGACACCTACACGAGGCCACCAAGACGTGTTACGGATAGTGTGGGGTCAGGGGTGCCCACGGGGGGAGGCCACAGCCCTGTATCACATGGTGGTGGCCGCCATCTTGCCTCCTTTGACCCCCCTGCAGAGACCGCTGCTCGGGGCTCGGTATCAGCAATATGCAGATCGTACCCTGTTGTCTACTCCTACCCAAGGCGGGGTGGGAGGCTCGGCAGAGGTCTTGATCCGGGGTCTCAGGGCTGGAACCATCTGGATGCCAGGCTCTTTCTGGGTGACATTCCAGGGCACATGGAAAGGAGGAACACAGAACATTAAAGGTCAGCACCTTCCGAACTTGGTGGGAGCCCAGACTGCTACTGCCAGCACCCGGTGGCAGCCCCTTCCCCTTTTATTCGAGTCCAAGAAAACCTGCAGTGGAACTGCGAGGACCACCCCTCTGGTCACTCTGGATGGTCGGGCTCCTTGGGTCAGCCCTGGGCCACTACAAATCTGGACTACAAGCCCCATATTTCTAGGCAAGTACGAACAATGAGAAGCTCATCACGGCCTGGGCACCACCAGGCTGAGGGAGGTTGCCCGGGATTTGAGCCAGCAGAGATGGGCGCTCCAGAGGGAGGGAATCAGTCCAAGGAACGGCTGCCTCGAGAGAAACCAGATCCAGGGATCCCCCTCCCCGCCAGCCGGGAGAGCCTTGCTCGGTCAGCCCTTCCTTGCCAGCCACCCTTTGGGGGCTACAGGGCCGGGATCGTGGCTTCGGAAACTTGAACGCCAAACTCTCTCCCTCCTCGACTGTTTCCATAACCCCGCCGGGAAAGACGTGGCTTTTCTGCGGTGCGTCTTGGGACCACCTTAAGCAAGCTGCCAGCCCTTCGAGGTAGGCCAGACAAGGAACCCAAGCCTTCGTTGCAAGGCTACAGGAAGAGAAGCTTGCGAGCCTGAAAGCCCTCCTCCCCTCCCCTCCCCTCCCCTCCTGGCCTCTCCTTTCCGGAGGACGAGGGGGGGTCCCCTGGGAGGCGCTTCCTCCACCCCCATTCCGTCTGCAGGCTGAGGCGTCTCCCGCCTGCCCGCCGCCCTGGCTGCGGCTCTTCCTCCTGTCTCCCAAGGCGATTCCCACAGCCTGTCACAAAAGCGGAGCGCTGCCTAGAGGGAAGCGGTAAA